TTACCAATTTTGTGTTTTTACAAATTGTTGTATAGTGAACAGAAGTTTAGGATGTACCGCCAAAAATCCATTAAGAAGATAAGTAAAGGCAACAAACAAAACCTGAGGGACCCGCATTTCTCCAAGCATATTGAGACCTATCTTCCCGACGATACAAGCGTCTCCTGCTATACACGTATCACCCGCAATGCTAATCCACATTAAGTCATTGTATCACAATCTGGTGTAAAACACAATTCGTAAAATTACAGATTCGACGACTATTCTGGTATCTAAAGACTAATGACTGCAAAAACATGTCACCAGACACAGATGTATTGTATCGATCAACCAATGTGTGATGGTGACTGTAATGTTTATGTAGTGTCGATTTCAGTCGTTCTTTATAACTCTATTGGAGCAGTTTTTGTGCAAGGACCACATCCCTGTTTAAAGTCCGTATATTATGAACATGTACGAGCGTAACTCATCAACTAAGATTATGTTAACTCCATACGATGAATTAGAGGGTATGTTACTGCTAAGAAATGGGAGGTTGACAATTATATATTTGAAATTATCACGATTGTCATGTTCACTGGGATAAATGAAATGTGAGCACTCACTGAAATGTGTGTTCTTGAGTTGCAGGACATCATACATAGATCTGAAAGTGAAACTAAAGAACTTTGCAATAATTTTGTTTTATTTTTATGTCTTTGAGACGATTTTGTGTAAATTCTACTTCATATAAGTACAAAAACAAGTCGGCCAGTTTGGGGCTGCAATAACTACTAATGGGGATACCGACTGTCTGGTGATATCAATCGATGAAAATAAGCAAACATGCTGTCGATCATAAAGAAAAAACATTTTGATAATAATATCATCTTTTGTATATTTGATTTTGGAATCAGTGCTTAACAAAATATTTTTTTTCATGACCGAAAACAAGAAATTTGTATATACGATTCCCATTTTTTTGTAGAAAGCTCCCTTTTATTAGGCGATGTATTCGATCTTACAGTTGAGCATAAGGATTAGTAGTACATATATAATGCGTAGACAAATGAAAACTATAATAGATATAAAGAAACTAAACAGCTTAAAAGATCAGTAAACCCGGATATACAAAATCGTCAATTAGCCCCTTGTAGGAGCCTTAAATTATCATTTTCCCATGGTTTGCATATTTTTCTTGAAAACTATAATCAACGAGATAAAATCAACAAAAGGCGCACATATTAACCAATTTCAATAAAGGTGAATGTAAATATCAAAATGGTATATTTTGCCGTGTAAGGGACTCAGGCTCAATGCTGGGTATAGTTTACGTCCGGAGAATACCGAAAAGGTTAATGTCCACAGTTCCCAAATGCTTTATTGGCTTATGATAAGTTTTACGTATAAACATGAATACCATAGAAAAAATATAGTATAAAAATATCTTAATGTACCCTTGTTTCTTATAAACATATAAAAACAAACTCACCCAAGATACCAGGCATATAATTTAGCACATCAGACGTGCTTACGGTCTTCACAAGACTCATATGTAGCACTTGAACAAAAGAGTTGGTAAAAACCCTTGATCTGTGCAAAATTCCACATGAAGCGTGTGTGATATATGTGGGAAGTATGTGCATACCAAAATCAATCACACAACAATAATAACATACGAAAAACCTGATTAAAAGTAAAAGTCTGTCCCATTTTCAAGTGTCGATCCTATGTCAGGAACCTCTTTAGTTGTCATTTGTAAAATGTTATATCTTAACAGTAAAATTGAAAATGGAAACGGGGAATGTGTCAAAGAGACAACAACCCGACAATGACCAGAAAACAGCACAATGCCACCAATAGGTCTTCAACACAGCGGGAAGAGTGTTTGTCATTTGGGGAATTTGGTACACGTGAAGATAGCAGTTTTTGATAATTTTATGCTCTGAAAACTTTATGAATAATCCTATGTAGAATTTTGAAGCTAACATTTTGTATAAACGCCTACATATCTTAGAAGACCGTATGTTGACCTCGAACGGTTTTCTTCTTCTTGTGTTATCTTCGAAAACCGTATGTTGACCTCGAACGGTTTTCTTCTTCTTGTGTTTGGTTGTGGTTTCATTGCCTTTAACTCCACATGATATATATCCATACCTATTGTTTATCTTCGTGAATACAATTTTATTTATAAATGACTGTTATCCGAGTTCAATTGCTTGAGATACTGTACGATCATTTAAGAATTTCAAACCATAATATATGTGCATTAAGCTACATGCCGTAATTTTGAGTTTTTATCGGTCTTAAAATTTTAACTGACATAGTTTATTGTAATTGAATTCTAATTTGAATGTTCTGGATCAACACGAAATGGTTATATTAAGAATGAGAAATGAAGGATTTTCAAATGTTCTGTAAATGTACAAGTAGACATATATCAATTAATGAAATACTAGAAAGTTATTGAATTAATATACAGGTTAAATGTTCCTTTAAAAGTACGAAAGTTTATTTAGTATAGACGACATTTGTATTCCCAATTGGTGCAATTAATTGGGAATTATTCATTGCAATTGAGTTTCATCTGACTTAATCCAACAAGACACGAATGTTTATTAATAACTGAAACGATAAGCCTGAATCACATTAAAAAACCAATTCGGTCAATATCATTAGTTGAACTTTCCCTATGTTGAAAAATAGATAGCTAAACCACTGCCTTCATATATCTACTCACTACGGATCACGTTATTCTTGTTAGGGATTTCTAGAAAAAGAAATGTTTTCCCTTCTTGTTTCCTTTATTTCTATGATATTTTGCATCTAGATAAATTTCAAATGGGCCACGTTATTGGCATGACACATGGTGCCAGTATAAGCTACTGCCATCACATTTTTATCGGCAACCGCCGTGCGTATGGTACCTAAAATATTCTACGAGGCAAATTGAATTGCTAAAGGAAACAAGCACTAACGATTTTTCGGATTTGTTATGAAATTTTGCATTCAACTTAAGCGGAGGGATTACATTTTAAGCTCACCTGGCCCAGGTGAGTTTTTCTAATCACTTTGCGTCCGTCGTCCGTCGTCGTCGTCGTTAACTTTTCCAAAAATCTTCTCCTCTGAAACTAATGGGCCAATTTTAACCAAACTTGGCCACAATCATCATTAGGGTATCTTATTTGAAAAATGTGTTCGATGACCCCGCCCGTCAACCAAAACGGCCGACATGGCTAAAAATAGAACATAAGGGTAAAATACAAGTTGTGTCTATTATTTTGAAAACCGTTATAAATAGAGAAAATCTGACAGGAGCAGAAATGTTCAAAATGTTTAGCTCTACCAATTGTACATATACTTCAAAACTGTCAGAGGACTTCTTTTAGGAGTTATTGCCCTTAAATGACAAATTTTACCATTTTTTTCATATTTGCCTTGACCGAGTACCAGGATGTCGTACCCCAGAGTAGGTACTCTGTCGAAACTATTTCAAAATAGTATTAAACATGTAGTATATTAAATTGATATACAGGCTAAATGTTAGTGTCCTTGGATAGTCACAACGTTAGTATAGCAGACGACATTCTTATTCCCGATTGATGTAATACAATAGACTTTGACTTATTTTCTCTAGACGTTAAAAAGAAGTGTCAGTATCTTATTAACATCATATACTATCTGTTGTTGGTCCATGGTGAATAATTGCCTAATTGACAAATATTCTACATTTTCTGCCAATATTATTATAGAATCCAATGCAATATGAAAACAAATGTGATATCAGTACATTTAAAACGATTACGAAAAGTTGTGCCAAATACGATTAAGGCAATCTAATCATAGGGGTAGAAAAACCTCAGTGTTTCGAATAATACGGTTTTTGGTTTAGGGACAACACTGTGTTTGTGTCCTGCCAAAATATTGGAATAGCATTGGAATTGGATGTATTCGTTCGTTCAGAATAAACTGCTGCACAAAATGTTACAATATGATGATATTTAATAAGCTAACCGAATGTCATCACTATAAAATATTGTTGATTTGTACCTATTTTATCAATTTATGCATATGTAATGATGACTTTCAGAAGACGGCGGTAATTTACTGATATGATGAACAACCGACAGTTAATCTTTACAATAAGCACTATCAGTTTATCATTTAGAGAAGGTGCTGATATGAAATTTAAAACTCGGTTCTTGTAGCGTCTCATTCATATAGTACGAACCAGACTATCGTTTGGTCTCTTGTGGAGGGTTGTGTCATTGGCAATCATACCACATCTTCTTTTTTATATCGATTAATCACTCAACCATTAAAATGTGTTACTTCGTTCCCACACAAAATTAACTATTGCATAACACACCATTTCCCATTACACCATGAAGGTTTCGTAATTGTACCATTCCCAATCCCCACTGCACCATCCATTTTTTTTTATTCTAAATTGTACCATGCGTGTTTGACAGGACTGAGACGATGTTTTTTATTTTGCTTCGCATCACGGTGCGGAGCTATTAGTTTCAGTCGATATACACGCAATCTTGAAATAATTACTAATCACATATAGATTCTGATTGGTTGCTTTATGATGCGGCTGAGATACAGCAACAGCTATTGGCTTAAATTAGATAAAGAATTACAGATTTTTCTCGTCTCAGGATAAGACATCAAATGCCGGAAAATTAACTATGTGTATTTCAGTTCCGATCAACTGCCATTAATTCATGTTCGTTTTATTATGCATATACTGCACACTGAAATTCAATATTGAAATATCAATTAATAATACGTGTTTATTTGCTTTGTTAATCTGCAATATGCACGATTTGTTTTGCTAAACAATGTTCCTATACAATGTTTACAAAAATGCATTATCTGTATTTTATAACTTCTGCCAATCTAGGCACACCTCCAGAATACGAATTCAACAACCACATGCACACATATTACCTTAAATTAGGAAAGAGCGAAGCAGTCCACAGCTTTTTAGAAAGGTCAAACTTGTATATTTCTAGATCACTGAAAAATCTGCAAACAGGATATCCGTTTAAGGGTAAAGATACTGTATACTTCACAACTGCAGACAAAGATGGGAATGCTTGTTCATTTATCAACAGCAACTTTATGGGATTTGGAACAGGAATTGTACCTGAAGGTTGTGGATTTACACTACAGGTGAAGTATTTTTTTTTTATATTTGACCTTAATGTTTCACAGCAATTTACAGTGAAAGACATACAAGTCATATTTAAACAAAGTGGAGTTAAGTAACAACGATCATGGCCACTGCTGATTAGTGAAACTTGGTGTTTTAGAAATTTGTCTATAAGCGTCTTTTATATTTACTACATTTACGATTTGCTCCTTTTTATAAATTTTACGTGTAAATTGTATTATGATGTGATACGAATTTCTAAATATACGACTCTTTCGACCAATTATTTAAGTAAACAACAGCCTGTTCATCGTTTTTTTTCTTCATATTGTAAAAGTTGCTCATTTTCTATATGTTTGGCATATCAAAATTTGTCTAAAGCTTGTCAGCATTTATACTTATCAAAGCTAGCATACAAATTGTTTATAATATATACTATACGCAATATGTTTGCTAGCTTTGATTCACCTTTGAATGGTAAAAAAATATAGTTAATATGCCTTTACATATATTAATTCGGCAGTGACAATTAAAGCGTTATATACCAGTGTGTCATTGTTTCTATCCTTGTAAACCCAAGCATGCCCAAGAGTGACTGGGGAATATACATTTTGTCAATTTGGTCTTCGGTCTATCGTCATTAAAACCCTTGCTTAAGTGAGGTGTTAGTTTGGTTGTGCGATATGTATAATTTCGAAGCCTCGTGTCCGAATGGAGATGTTAAATCCGATGATCCGTGTAGTTTATGTGTCATACTATCTGCACATTAAAGAAACAACTCATGGAGATGTCCGTTTGTGGCATGTTTCAAGGCATAATTTCTGCCCCTATCCAACATACCAGGTTTTCCATTTCAACCCTTTCTCCCTGTCATCCATGAAATGGTTGCTACTGAACGTTAAGCAAGCAACAATCAATCAATCAATCAATCAATCAATCAATCAATCAATTCATCACTTTTTATTTTTACGCTCCGCCTACGATAGAAGAGGCATTATGTTTTCTGATTGAACAGTCTAATGTAGATTCTTTCTTTCTACTGTAAATGTTTTTGTCTCTGATTTAGAATGCAAACAATAATTGAAAATCGTTATGGTTCAATACAAAAACAGCAGTAAGTTGTATGAAAGCAAAACGTATCTTACCTTTCTATATTTTACTCACTTATGTTTTCGTTATGTCTTATAGAATAGAGGTTATGGATTTAGTTTAAATAAAGATCATCCAAATGTATTGGCACCAAACAAAAGACCATACCATACGATAATTCCTGCCATGGTGACGTATGACGAAGGAGGTAATATATTTATAGTTTGAAATAAAAGTTTTAGTTTTTTTTTACTTCACATTACAACGATCTAGTATGAGTTACTATCGGTGCTCTCACTGTCTGTATTATTCTGCTCAGCTCTTCATAAAATTGCATATCACGACGTTGTGACGTCAAATATGTTGACCTGGCCCTAATAACTTTGACCTAGACATATCATCGTCGTCATAATAAATGAACCGACGTTGATAAGTTTGACGAACTTATCATGTCATCTTCCGGTTTACTGGTGAAGATATAGCCGGGTAAAATGGCGTTCCGGCTAAATGGAAATCTAGAAGGAATATTTCGCTCCTTAAACTTTTATTTTAACAGTCCGGCAAGACCGAACAACAAACTCCAAACCAAATGTAAAGTAACATACAAACAATAACAATAAATATAAGCACAAGCAATTAAAGGATTAAGAAGATTAACATATGCCAAATAGAAATAACAATAGATTAGAAGAGTAATTAATGTCCGACACGTATAAGTAAATTATTGTCTAAACTGTTACAGAGAATAAATAATTAAATGAATAGAGTAAATGAATTTAAGTCCTTTGTCCAAGATTATGACACATAATCCGTGTAAAACACTTATGCCTAAATTTACGACAAAGTTCAGAATAATAAAATAAATGCAAAACAAGAATATACATTAAAACAATTGAATTCATAAAATGTTGTTTAAAAACTAATTTCATTGCACAGTCCAAATTGTCCGGTCATAAAACAAAGAAAAACACTTGTTTCTATCATGCAAATACACAAATTCAATCCGATAAATAGATTATCAGGTTGTTTGCATATTGATATTTTGAAATATCAGCTGCTCGACACAATATGAAGTCTTTTTGAACTCGTTCGTTGCGCTCAGTTGACAAAAAACTTCATATTGTGACTCGCAGCTGATATTTTACAATATCAGTATGCAGACAACCTGATAATCGGTACTTATTACTATCACTTGTCGTCTGCCATCCGTTTAATGATATAGAATTTGAACAGTTCTCACAGTAAAGAACTAATTTACGAATTAAAACCAACACTGATCGCTATCATGGTTTATCGAATACCCCTGTTGAGACTGAAAAAAATGTATGTTACAAGAGCAGAGATGTCATGAAAAATTTCAATTGAAATCCTAGTTCAGTAGCCACCAAACGTTGAGAAATTATTACTGGTGGTATTTAACAATTATGGTTGATGATTCAACTGCATTCAAACATTATCATTCTCGTTGAATCTAGACATGTTGTATTTTGAAATAAAAGTTCACTACAACTGTTTTCATTGTGGGCTTTACCATCATTTAAACTTTTTGGTTCTTTGAAAATAAATTTGTAGAAAATAAAATCTACTCGGAATTTAAAGAAAAAATCATTTCGTTACATGTATAAACGATTGTTTTCAAACTTTTAACTTTTGAACAACTACATAATTTTGTCATCTGTAAATTACTTTTGAACTGATGCTTTGGATATTTTTATGTAACAATTTTATATTGAATCGAGTATAACTTCAAAAAGTAGTGCTATGTTGTCTTGCTTTACCAATAACATAAACGGTACCAATTTGTCTGCACCAGATGCGCATTTCGACAATAAACTCTTCAGTGATGCTTGGGGCCAAAATATTTTACCAAACTTTTAATCATTATCAAAATTTAATTTTTCTTTGTATAGGAGATTTTGCCATGAGTTATGGCGTAATGGGTGGATATATGCAGCCACAAGGGCATGTACAAGTACTTCTTAATATGGTAGAGTTTGGAATGGACCCACAAGCCGCTTTAGATCAGCCAAGAATACTGGTTGGTGGAGGATATAAGTAAGTTCAAATCGTTTTAATTAACCAATGATACTTTAAATGGATGGATGGTTGGATGGATTATTTTTTTCGCAAAGTGGCAAATATTACATACATTTGCAGGACGATAATTTAAACAAATTTAATTTTATATGCACTGAAGTCCTCTTTGTACTGGACCCAAACTTTGATCTGGATTACTAACGTACACGTGCTTGATAACAAAGTAACAGTCAACTGGAAGACATGCTACCCTTAGAGTTCCGAGACATTATTCTGACTCGTAGCCGACTATTGTTTTTTGTTTCGTTCCTTAAATCTCGCATGCTTAAAGGAAGAACAACAAATACCATTTTTCCTGACTTTTGTTTGACCCTGCTGCGGATCGAATCCATGACCTACCGCAATCGCGTCGAGTACGCGGATGATAATTTAGACTTTCCTGAAATTTTCATTTAGTAAAGTCAAAATGTCTAATCTGACGTTTAATTTTTGTCGAGCCTGCGACTTTTGTCGCAGAAAGCTCGACATAGGTATAGTGATCCGGCGGCGGCGGCTACGGCGGCGGCGGCGTTAGCTAACTTCTTAAAAGCTTTATATTTTAGAAGGTGGAAGACCTGGATGTTTCATACTTTGTATACGGATGCCTCATGTTACGAAGTTTCCGTCAGTCACATGTCCAATGTCCTTGACCTCATTTTCATGGTTCAGTGACTACTTGAAAAAAAAGTTAACATTTTTTGTAATGTTAAATTCTCTCTTATCATAAGTAGTAGGATAACTATATTTGGTCTGTGCGTACCTTGCAAGGTCCTCATGCCCGTCAGACAGTTTTCACTTGAACTCGACCTCATTTCATGGATCAGTGAACAAGGTTAAGTTTTGGTGGTCAAGTCCATATCTCAGATACTACAAACAATAGATCTAGTATATTCGGTGTATGGAAGGACTGTAAGGTGTACATGTCCAGCTGGCAGGTGTCATCTGACCTTGACCTCATTTTCATGGTTCAGTGGTTATAGTTAAGTTTTTGTGTTTTGGTCTGTTTTTCGTATACTATATGCAATAGGTCTACTATATTTGGTGTATGGAATGATTGTAAGGTGTACATGTCCAACTGGCAGGTGTCATCTGACCTTGACCTCATTTTCATGGTTCAGTGGTTATAGTTAAGTTTTTGTGTTTTGGTCTGTTTTTCTTATACTGTATGCAATAGGTCAACTATATTTGGTGTATGGAAATATTTTATGATCTATATGTCAGTCACGCAGGTTTTATATGACCTTGACCTCATTTTCACGGTTCATTGCTCAGTGTTAAGTTTTTGTGTTTTGGTATGTTTTTCTTAAACTATTAGCAATAGGTAAACTATATTTGTTATATGGAAGAATTGTTAACTGTACATGTCTGCCTGGCACGGTTTATCTGACCTTGACCTCATTTTCATGGTTCATTGGTCAATGTTTAGTTTTCTTGGTTAATGTTAAGTTTAGGTGACAGTTGTAATAAAGCTTTATATTTAGGACTATCAACATAATATCAATGATTAGTAAAGAAGGCGAGACATTTCAGCGTGTGCACTCTTGTTTAGTTAAACAGGTGTTCGGTTTATATGGTTTACACTGGTTTAACTACATAAGAATAGCTTAGTCTTTTGATATTCGTGATGTTGTCAACACTCCGGCTTTTTAATATTAGTTTGCTTTATTATTTTTTTATCGTATTTTATCATTTTTTGGTAGATGAATTACATGGTATTTGTTAAAAAAAAATATTGATTTGATAAAAATGATTAAAACGATGTGCAAACAACGCATTTTTCGTTGTTTTATTAGCCTTCACATTGTATCAGGTTATATGATCAATTATATATATGCATTCTTTCATCACACAAAAAAATAAGGAACCATCAAATTCGAATCCTTAAAATTTAATACAAATAAGTTCAAATAAGAATAGGAATGATGAAATATCGTTAATTAGTAGTGTGCATTTGAAATTAACATATAATGTCGACCACAGTGTTTTGAAAGTGGAACACAAAAAGGGTTCTACGCATTAAATTTTACCATTGAGTGCGATCTACATTGATAGTCAATAAGCTGAAGTTCTTTTGTAGCAATATCTTACAATAGCATCTGTTGATTAATGTTAACTCAGAAAAAGAAGCTGGAAACACTAAAATGTTGATATGCACTGACCTATATCATACTGTGACGAAAAAGTGTAGTATGGTACTTGAACTAAAGTGTGTATTCTTGTGGTTGTGTTGTGTTGTTGGGTGTCTAAGTTTCACTCGTACACGGACGACAAATGCCAAGTATACTCTTTAATAGGGTTACCCTTGAAATCTACTGGTAGCGTGATTAAGGGAATCCTGGTCACATAAATAAATAAAAGGATCCTGGTGCAGTCTGAACGAAGTCTTGTAAGTGAACATAAACACGAAGTCGAATAAAAGTTCAATACTGTATTATCAAAATCACATTATACAAGTATAACAAAATATACATCTAACTTCAGGCTCAACAATACGGTTCTCCTCTCTACTCTACAAACGTAACTGTCCTCTCCTCACTAAAAATTCTCTCTCCTTTATCTCACGCTCTTTCTCTCTTTTATATGACTCCTACAAGCCCGTATACAAATATAGACTACTAGGGCAACCGGGCTCCGTGTAGTCCGTGCTCCGGAAGTCCGGGTGCTCCGGGTGCTCCGGTGATCCGGGCTCCTAGTGCTCCGTGCTCCGGAAGTCCGGGTGCTCCGGGTGCTCCGGTGATCCGGGCTCCTAGTGCTCCGTGCTCCTTACATAAATTTACTAGGGCACCATATGCAAATCATTAGGGCTCACTAGTCAAACAAAGAAATCTAAATATAACTCCTAATTAATATAATCTCTGATGATCTCTTACTGTATTAAATGGCTATGTGTGAAAATACAGATGTATGTTAACCTGATACAATCAGATAACACGCTTGACCTAACATATAAAAATGTTACATTACATATATACGTTCAAAGAAATGTAACTCTATCTTCTGAAAAAAAAAAACCTGATGACTAATTGCTTCAATATACGAATGGATGTTTACCCACTAATAATAGATATTTAAATAATTTCGGATATCATGTTCTACGTCATTTATACAAATATGTGCGATTTAAAACCTGACTCTAAAGACTCTATACCATTTCTCCTTTAGATTGTAATATGTTTGTGTATTGGTAAATAATAACTATATTTTAAAAACGACATTGTATGTAGATTCTTATCCATCATCTAAAACCTTTACAGGTTTGACAGCAATATGATATCTGCAGAAGAGGGGATTTCTAAAGAAGTTATTGCAGAGCTACGTAGTTATGGACATACCATGACTGGTCCAGTTATTGGTTATGATCGGGCATCTTTTGGTAGAGGTCAGGTTATAGCACGTGGTACTTTGCCGAACTCTGACTCTCAAAGTAAAGTGTATTGGGCTGGAACTGATCCAAGATGTGATGGAATAGCTATAGGATATTAAAGTTTTAAGGATTTTTATGTGTTTTCGTCGTTGGCGGAGGCGTCCACAAATATTCACTCTGTGGTTAAAGTTTTTTAAATTTTAATAACTTTCTTAAACTATCCTGGATTTTTAACAAAGTGGGACAGAAGCTTGTTTATGATCATAAGATAGTATCCAGAAGTAGATTTGGTAAACAAAAATCCAGTTCATTAATATTTTTTATAATTTTATAATTGCATCTTCTATTTACATGCATTTTTGTTGATGAATTAAGGGATAAATCATTAAGCAATGTAAAAATTATCTCCTTTATCATTTGTTTATTCCATAAATTTATGTTTCAACTCTTTTATAAATCTATAGATTTGATTGCATACTGTATTCATTATTTACAAGCATAACTTTTTTCATACATTTCAAGAGTTTTATTTCATTAACTGTAAATCTATGATGTGCATTCCCCTATATAGACAACAGCAAAAGTAGGCGAGACACTGGGTTCCGCGGAACCGTTACGAATTTTTTTTATATAGTTATTTTGTTAGATAGTATGTTTATTAAAAATTAGGAGATGTGGTATGATTGCCAACGAGACAATTGTCCACCACAGTTCAAATGACGTGAATGTAAGCAACTTAAGGTTATCGTACGGCCTTCAACAATGAGAAAAATCCATATCGTATTAACAGCCGAATATATTACAAATCAGACTTGAACCAACACCAATGCAACCATTCAATTACAGGCTTTTGACCTTTGGCAGGCATTTAAGAAGAATGTTCGCCATTTTTTTACTGAAATGCTGCATAAGATAGGAGAGAATGTTTTACATAACAGGGCCCTAATATGAAGGACAGGTTTGGGGTTTATATGTTGAGACAAGAGTAAGGGGTTAAAAGAGAGGCGAAAGATACCAGAGGGACATTCGAACTCATAAGTCGAAAATAAACTGACAACGCCATGGCTTAAAAAGAAAAAGACAAACAGACAAATAATAGTACAAACAACAAAACACAACATAGAAAACTAAAGACAGCAACATGAACCCCATCAAAAACTGGGGGTGATCTCAGGTGCTCGGTAAGTGTAAGCAGATCCTGATCTACATGTGGCACCATAGAAAACTAAAGACAGCAACATGAACCCCATCAAAAACTGGGGGTGATCTCAGGTGCTCGGTAAGTGTAGGCAGATCCTGCTCTACATGTGGCACCCGTCGTGTTGCTCAGGTTACTACAAACCGGGTAATAAGTCCCAATTCGGTAGGTCATATTCGGGAAAAGGGATCCATTTTCATCATTATTATAACTATCCCTAAGTATGTCTACGGGGCGAAAGAAATGAGCTGAAAATGAACTCGGATTACACTGTTAGGAGACATGTTTTTGTTCTGCCAGTCCGCCTAATATCAACGCTTAAACTTTAATGACTTCAGCAATACATTTTGAAAAATGTCTTATTGCATCGGTAGTAAAGCCTGTGTGTTTTAAGCTAAACAATATTTAAAATAATTGAAGGTTCATGATATGATTGCATAGGTAAAAACCAACTTCATAAAGATCATCTTAGTCATAGGTATAAACCAACTTCATAAAGATCATCTCAGTCATAGGTATAAACCAACTTCATAGAGATCATCTCAGTCCAAACCAAATTTTATAGATAGTCAAAGGTTTGTAATTAGGCTACAAACGTCGTTAGATTTAAGTTTGAAATAGAGCAAGTTAGTTAGTAAAATGATAGTCTGTCTTGAATAATCCGAGAACCAACAACAGTCAGTTTATGTTGGATTTGTCATCCATGCAATGTTAAAGTGGAAATACAATAAACGTTAAAAGTGAAGGAAAAAGTTTCTTAGTTTGAGAAAGTAATGTTTCCGAGTTGCATCATGGAAGATTATCAAAATAACTTGAGTGTAATGGAGAGGGAAAAATAAATTTTAGAATTATATATTAGCATAATCTCAGTTGAATATCATGAATCGTCGTAGCACCGTCTGTTTTTATGCATTTAAAAATTAAAGTAATTCATGTACTACAAGCTGCTGTTTTTACAGTCAGGCTTCTTTGACCTTCACATGAACACGCAAAATATACATGTATTTTTTAATAATTCTTAGGTAACTCATTGTTTACGACAGATTTTTATTGATATTACATGCTGGTCAATGTTCATGTAATGATAATGAAACGTTCGATGTGTAAGTCATCATTCGTTGGGTAAAATGTTACATACGAACCATGAATACAAGGATAAGAATACAGTTTCTTTAACTAAAGTGCTGTCCTTTATTGTTATATATAAAAGGAAGATGTGGTATTATTGCCAATGAGACGACAACTCTCCACAATAGAACAAATGACACAGAAATGAACAACTATAGGTCACCGTACGGCCTTCAACAATGAGCAAAGCCCATGCCACATAGTCAGCTATAAAATGCCCCGAAATGACAAATGTAAAACAATTTAAACGAGAAAACTAACGGCCTAATTTATGTACAAAATAATGAACAAAAACAAATATGTAACAAAATAACAAACGACAACCACTGAATTACAGGTTCCTGACTTGGGACAGGCACATACAGAATATGGCGGGGTTAAACTAGTTTGAAGGCGCCAACTCTCCCCCTAACCTGGGACAGTGGTGTAACAGAACAGCATAAGAACAAACTATAAAAATCAGTTGAAAAAGGCTCAACTCATCAGATGGATACAAATAGAAATACATCTAACAAAAACACAAAGTGGACGTGGACGGGTACTTGTTCATCCCAACAACAGAAAGACACTTAGTCTTTGTTTGTACGTTTACTTTTTCAGAGTGTTGCGTACCCTTCCGAAGCACCTGAAATCACCCCAGTTTTTGATGAGGTTCGTGTTGCTCAGACTTTAGTTTTTCATGTCGTATTTTGTAATTTTGTTTGTCTGTTTGTCTGTTTGTCTGCTGGTCTTTTTCTTTTTTATCCATGGCGTTGGCAGTCTATTTTCAACTAATGTTTGAATGTTCCTTTTGTATCTTTCGCCTCTCTTTTGCAATAAGTGGTTTGTGTCCAATTTTTTCAGCCCTTTTGTTATCCTTTTTAAATATTAAGGAAAAGGGATCTACTAAAATATAAACAATTGGAATTATGAGTAGGTTCATTACAAATGAAATGTCTATTTTATTAATTCGGATAAATATTAATAAAAGTCATTTCAAAATCTAATCCTTCAAAAATCTTAACGCTCATATCATGATAATAGCCATAGCCATGCCCAAATTAACCTCACAGACATGATTGACGAATCCATATTTTATGTGTCTGTCCTTCGCCAGATGTAAGACAAAAACAATACTACATTCAATTATGACTAGGTGTATTTAATAAATGGTGATGATGATTGATTGGTGTTTAACGTACGATGCCAACTACTACATGCATATCAAGACAAGAACTTGTTTATGTTATATGAATTTGAGCATTGTTTGTTTACTAGACCGACACGCTGTGCCTGATTTTTGACGTTCTAGTTAACAAATAAAAGTCAGCAGAAAGACATGACACCGTAACCTGACACAATTCTGACTCTAAGCAAACTTGTCTTAGATCTTACATTGTACTTCTAAATGCCGCGCGGTTGGCGGAGATCCTACAAAAAAATGCAAGTCATTGATATGACCAGTTAGAGGGTCGATCCCAAGACCTCCCTGTTCTGTTTGTTTAATTCAGGCCGTTGATTGTCTATTTTTATTATTTTGTTATCTCAGGGCCTTTTTGGCTAAAGACTTTAAAACGAACGTTTTTTTTTTACATTCTTGTCCTTTTGTCCTATTTGGACAATTATCTCATTGGCAATAATACCACATATCCCTTTTTTATAAATAATATTGATTTTAAAAGATGTCAAATTTCAACAGAAAGAAGTGTACATCAGTCAAACTACTTCGACCATGGATTTATACAAAATAAAAGTGTCAAGTCGTAGAATGCGAGACATAGAAATAACTATTTGGCGGCGCTGGCGACCGCGTGCAATATTTGTATAAAAGCGTTATATTTCAGAAGGTAAAAAACATGGATGCTTCATACCTTGCATGCAGGTTCCCTGTGTTACGAACTTTCAGTCTGTCATATGTTCATTGTCCTTGACCTCGTTTTCATGATTAGTTTTTTGTCTTTTGAAATACTCACTTATTATGAGTAATAGGATAACTATATTTGGTATACGGGACCATGCAAGCTCTCATTTCATGCATCAGTGATCAAGATTCAGTGTTTTTGTGGTCAAGTTCGTACCTCAGACACTATAAAGTAAAGGTGAACTATATTTGGTGTATGGGATGATTGTAAAGTGTACATGTAGGTCTTGCAGGGTTCATCTAACCTATACCTCAATTTCATGGTTCATTGGTCAGTGTCAATTATTTATGGTAATGTCTGTTTCTCAGATACAATAAGCGATAGGTCAACTATACTTGGTCTATGGAATGATTGCATTGTGTATTGTTGTCTGGAAGGGTTCATTTGACCTAATTTTTGGATGTTCAGTTCTCGTAATTGGGTCAGTTTCTGAGACACTATAAGCAATTGGCTTACTATATTTGGTGTATGGTATGGTTTTAAGGTGTATATGTCTGTCTAGTAGGGTTCATTTGATCTCGATCTGACTTACATTGATCATTGATAATATAAAGTTAATGTGGTACTTGTAGTAAAAACTTTCAATATGAATTCAATCATGATATGTAAAGCAGGCGAGATATTTCAGCGTGTTCGCTCTTGTAATACTTTACACAAAGAAAATAAGAACACAACAACCCAACAAAAAGAAGAATAGACACAAAAGATGTGGAAGATACCAAGGGGACATTCGAAAGTCGTAAGTCGAAGAAAATGACAAAGCGATGGCAAAAAACGAAAATAACAAAACACAAGAGTCTATATCGACTTGAATCTAAAACTTGTCCAGTTGGGAATAAATTTTACATCAACAACAAATTCCCTTGATAAAAAAACAAACATTAAGTTTTGACTGCATTCATCGA